CAATATGAATATTCACATATTTTTATAATCTTAAAAATATAAAATTGATGTTTAAAAATTAATAATTTAATGACTATATTCCTAATACAATAAAACTAAATATTGCTGAGGGAGCCAAGAAAGTATACAGTAAAAGCAACGTAAAAAGAAAATCCTTCCTTTTGACACACTGCTTTTTTTTGGGGTGGGTGTACATAGGTTAAACTTTGCCATCATATTTTCCTAGAAGTTCTAACAGGTGCGACACAAAGAACTGTTTGAACTGTGCAGTCTTAGGGATAGCATAAGAAGCAACACCCCCTGCTGCAGAGGCTTCCGTGGGAAGATTTAAGAATATGTTATGTCTTTTTGTCTTTTCTCTTCAACACAAGTTCTACAGAGTTTTCCAACTCTGCATTTTTTTTTTAAATCATCATTTCACCCCAAGCAAGGCAATAAAGCCACTAAGACACAAAGCGTTACTGAGTTTGAAAGAAAAAAAAAAGAAGCATTATTAAAGAGCAACAACAATAGGAGAATAATCAAAAACACAGTAGATAACAATTGACATTGCATTTAAATTTTTGAAGATCAAAGTTGGTTGGAAAGCAAGATGCCAGAAGAGTGTTCCACAACCAAGATGTGCAAGAAAAGAAACTGTGAGCATAGAACTTACGGTTACATCTATCCATTTCAACTATAAAATGATGAGACATTGTTGCCAATCTAGTACTGCAATTAAATTCATAATGTCTAGGCACTGTAGAGGAAAGTTCATCAGAACATTTAATATGAAAGTATTTATAGAAAAGACACAAGGGATGCCAGGTTAGGACCAATAATATTGCAGATTCTTCTTTGGATTTTTTCAAGAATCTCTAAAGCAAGAGCACCAGACTGTATGTGGCAACAATATTCAAAGCATTAGACTTATAAATATCTAAGATAAATTCGGGAGAGAATGATTGTCTAACACAACACAGTGAGCTAACTTTCCTAGCAGCAGACCTAGTAATTCAATATAATCTTCATGTCAACAGAGAAAGTTAGCCTATAAAGGTGCAACAAGACACTCTCCTGGAGGTTAGCATCAGCTATGCTGATGGAAGTGTAATTGTGCCTTTCAGGTGATTAATAGAAAGCAGTTTTGTCGTTATTGTTTTATCGACAGAAACTTGCGTTGTCCACTGTTGATGGTCATTCCCTGATGTGTACATTTTCTTCAAAGAGTTTTAAATTTTTTACTTGCTTGATTTTGGTATCTCCCAATTTGTAGTTCATGTCTTGGACTATTTATCTTGCTGTCTCTGTAACAGAGAATCGGGTCGGCCCAATAAAAGACCGAGTTGGTTGTAGGTGGTGCTGTAAGCACCAAGAGTTGTGTCCCTTTCCACAATGGGGTGTTCAAAGAAAACCTTCAATTTAGAATAGGTGGCGCAAACTATTTCTATATGAACGATACTAGGCAGGCATTAGCCAATAGTCAGTGTGAGTCTGGGACTTGGTAAGCTATATAACACCAGTGTTTTTCTCAGTCAAGAGAGGTGCTCTTGACGTGCAGAAACCAGACAAGACGAACACAGTCAACCATACATTCTGTTTTCTTACAATTGACACTTGGTCCGTTCTTCTCACTTTCCTTTACTACCTTCCTAGTTTCTTTTGTGTGTGTGCTGTCAACTGAATATCTTATGTCAAGATCGTGTCCACCAATAAATCCTGCTATGACACCAGTTCTCTCTGGGTTACCTTGCTGTAAAGTTTGAATAAAGTCTGGTCAGAAGAAACATCCTGGTCTTACAACAAAATTTTTTGTGCATTTTTGCCCTGTCAGTTAGGGCTTCAGAATATGCTGACTGCACCTCTGCAGAGGGGTAAGATCTGCCCATCAAGCAAAAATGAGGCATCCTGGGTAAGAAGATAAACTATGTCCATCAACAAGGCCTCTGATCAGGTGGTTTTGAGGAGCATGGAACCGCCTCTTAATTGCTGGTGTTCCCAGGTACAGCCTGAATCGGTAGCATATGTTAGGGTCCCAGCTGGGGTCAAAGCACTATGAAAGTGTGAAAATAGGTTTTAATACCAGCAATACATCTTTGTAAAAAATTATTACCAGCAATGAATTTTTGAAGGAAAAAAATTATTACCAGCAATACATTTTTGAAGAAAAAATATTACCAGCAAGACAATTTTTGGAAAAAATATTACCAGCAATAAAAATCTTGTCGGCATTAAATAACCCATTGAGGGTGATATGCTGTAAACCAAACCAAACCAAACCAAACCATTTGTATAAATACTGAATTCATTTTCTATCCGTGTACAGGCGGTTTGCTCCAAATATAAGTCCTGGATTATTCTAATATCTTTCTCATATAAATCCAGATTTCCTAGGAGTTCAAACAGGTGTGACACAAATAACCATTTTAACTGTGCATTCTTACATTAACATAAAGTTGCCTCAGTGGGAAGATTTAAGAATATGCGAATCAATCTTAACTTAGACAGGTTTTATATATACATAAAATAATAAAAATTAGTTTAAAAATCTTAGTGCAAAATAATTTGTATTAAGCTCTTCAATTTTTGATAAGTAAATATAGTTTTCACTTAATAACAATATCACCTAACGGGATTAAGCTAATATAGAATTTTAAAAGGCTTGTAAAAAATTATGATAATAAATTATTATAATTAAAATTTTTAAAAAGTGAAAACAATTCTTGTAAAAATTCATTATTCATTGAATTTTTTTTTTAAAAACAGCAGTGTTCTTATTGAATCTTATTTATAGAAGCAATAAAAAGCTTTCCTAACCAAATAATGTCAGTTTTATTGCATTTTTTATTTTACGATTCTGAGCAGATTTTCTCCAAGGAATCCTGCTTTTCTCTCCAACACTGGTTGTACAGTTTTTCAGTTGTTTGTTGTTATTGTTTTATTGTCACAGATTAATGTTTATTCCGAGAATATTGTGAAGATTTTCTTCAAGGAGTTTTTATACCTCTTTCCATGATCTTTTGTTCCACTGACCTATTGATAACTCACACCAACCTTTTATAGATGATCAACTTCCGTCTTCCATATGCAATCTGTCCCGTTCAGGTAGATCTGATGGAGCATGACCACTATGCTTGTAAATTTCACAATTTTGATATTAGTAAGAGAATGACATGACAGCAGAACTGAAGCATATGGAGGCACCAACATATATTTAAAAAAAATGTTACCTAAATATGGATTAAAGAGTTTAAAATCAATTTGAAAAAAATTCATTTGGATACAGTGACTTTTCTTCTTGACTGGTTCCCACTCAAAAACAGTCAAGCTTCCCTGCTATTTAACCCATAGCAGGAGGAAAATGGATTCATGCCTTTTCCATGAGCATTAACATAACATGGAAAAGGCATGAATCTATTTTCTGCCTGCTATGGGTTAAATAACAGGAGGAAAATGGATTCATGCCTAATGTGAATAAAATAGATTTGACTAGAATTTGAACCACACACACATTTTTTATATTCTTACTGAAATGGGCTTTTTTGTCTTGTGCAGAATATTCCAGCACACGCGCACATATCTTAAAGCCTCCAAAACTAAACTGCTATCATTTAAGCACCATAGGAAAACATCCCTGCCACCCCCACCAATCAGCATGGTTGATGCTCATCTTGATGAGAGTGTCTCACTGCACCTTCTTGGCCTCACGTTTTCAACTGACTTTAAGTGGAACAACTATATTGAATAAATAACTGCATCAAATTACTGTTTTTAAGCAAAAAAATTCCTTTGAAATTTCTCAGACATTCAGGCCAGTAAATGTAGTTAATACCATTTATTATAAACAGAGCATTTACTTAAATATTTGTATCGATAAAAATAATGTATAAACAGAAAATATATTAAAATAATTGTCAGACTTTGTCCATTTCATCATATATGATGTTATCTGTTTCTGTTAAAATTTGTTTTGAGCAGATATGAGCATTTGAGAGAAATCATGGAAAATTTGTTCTTTAAAAACAGTAATTTGACTTTGCTAACCAGACGCTTCCTCTGTAGCTAAATGGTATAGCACATCAGGCTATATGATGGTTCCATGTAGGATACGGGTTAAATTGTTGTCAGAAGACATATTTTCTATGAAATTTCTTGGATATTCAAGGCTAGTAAATGTAGTTCTTCCCTCTGTCTTTTCTACAAATCTTTTCATGATAACTGGTCCAAGGAGCTACTTTCGCTGGTTCCCAAACTGCATGAATTTAAGCATTAATTTTACTAGGTTGGCATCTCAGTCCCACCGTTTCACTGTCAGAACAGCTAAATGTAACCATCTCTTCTACTCCAACAGCTTCATGTCTCGCACTTCCCGTCTGCATAAGTCCCTTCCTTGCTTCCCTAATAGCTATAATGTCCTAATATTCAAATGCAATGTCAATTGACATCTCCAGATGCCTTGATCTATTTCCCATCCTTCTCTTCATCCTTTCCTCTTTCACGCCTCTTTACTCTTGCTCCCACTCTCTGTAACTCCTTGCGTGCTAGTGGCATTCCTGGCTTGCTTAAGGTGAATTATAAAATACTTTTATCCGTATTCCCATTCATAAAAGTCAAAATAATAAAAACAAACTTTCATTTACAATTTAACTTTATTGAGTTTAATGCATTTCACCCTGCTTAAAATATTTTTATATTTTAAGCAAAATCTTCAAAATCAGCCAAAAAAAAAAAAAAAAAAGGCAAATTTTTTTTTTTCTGTGAATATTTGTGAGGAAATTGAAAATGCCCCCACCCCCCAACCTTATATTTACTTGTAATACTTTATTTTATATTTTGTACAATCTTTGTTTTAAAAAGAAGTTTATTTCGATTTTTCTCTTTTTATAGATTCAGCCCATTCAACCCCCCCCCCCCTGTTGGCCAGGTTTCAACACTACAAGATATGAGAGAGAATGGAATAATACAAAACAACGTTGGTAAATGGTCCGGATTAGGATTATCTTTTTGGTTCCTGTGGGCAAATGCTATCGGGTTGTTATTTTTACCCAGCTCATCCCACAAACTCTCAGGATTGTGGCAGAAACTCAAGGAAATCTCTCTTGACAGATTCTTCAATCTGTTGCCGGGTTTGTCATAGGATATAAGTTTGCAGAGGAAGAGACAAAAGTCGGAGTTTATAGAGGCTCGATAATCAAACTCCGGGGCAGACTTGGATTTCGCATTGACGGGCGTGGTAATGTTCAGCATTGACGATTGCAAGGATGACATGGGAGAGCCACCTGATTTACATTCCGGTGATTGTTTGTATAATGTATTGAAGAAAGGTTGAAGTTCTGTTAGAGAGCGAATGTGTGTCATATTGAGCAAAGGCTGACCGGGTATTTCTCTCAAACTTGGGATCTCTCCTTGGATCTGAAGGAGAAAAAAAAACACATACATTTTAATGCACACAATCAAGTTGCAATTATTTCAGTTAGAAAACTAAACAGCATAAAACAATCATTCACTATCAAAAAAATAGCCGTGAATATTTCAGTTTTCTTATTCTCATTTTCTGATGAATCATATTTCATAATTTAATGACTGAATAAGCTTCTTGCGAGTTCCACAGCTATAGGATACCATTTGAAATTCCTCTGTTGGATTGTTAAACATTTGGACTGAGCAACAAAATATTGCAATAACAATCATGAGGATCAATGCAAGTCATTATTTAAAGAAGTAAGAGGGTACAAATGAAACAATTCAAAATTCACACTGAAGCAGACAGTAAACGTATGAGTGGGTTATCGCTTTCTCTTTCTTCCTTTCTTACATACTATAATTTTGTTTTTTCACTAAAACCAAACAGCATCTATGATATATATTTTTCCGTCTTTACTCTCAATCTATACAGAATAATGGTAAGACATGAAATAATCAGGTATCTATCTCAAAACCTTTTTATAACTTTATTTCACACACACACACACACACACACACACACACACACACAGGGTATTGAAAAGTAACTCCCTATTTTATATATGATGGTACAAATGAAAAGATTTAAAATTCACACTGAAGCAAAATTCACATGATCTTTGTATAGCCGTGCTACTGTTGCCTGAGAAAAATCTGGAGCAGTCATCACTTCATTAATAGCATTTGGACATTTCATGGTTATTAAATCATTACATGGTGAAATGATGTTACATCCTGTCTGTGTCTCATGAATGCCACAGCTTCACTATCTCTTTACTTGTTACTTCAAACATCATCTGATCAGGTTCGGCACATGGAGAAGGACTCTGCCATCCAGGGTACACTTTCATTTTTTTTTTTTAATCAAATTTACTTCAAGTTAGACAGTAAAGCCACTAAGACACAAGAGTCTACTGGGTGTGAGAGAATTACAAAAGAAACATTAAGGAGCAAGAACAATAGAAGAGTGATCATGAGGACAGTAGATAGAAACTGACATTGCATTTAAATTTTTGAAGATCAAAGTTGACTGGAAAGCATGGAGCCGGAATAGGGTTTCACAAGCAAGAAATGCCAAAAAAGACACTGTTAACATGGTTACATCTAGATAATTCAATTGTAAAATAATGAGACCTTAATGCCAATCCAGTACTGCACTTAAATTCATACAGCCTAAACACCATAGCAAGAGCTCAATTACTATGAAAGTATTTATAGAAACGGTACAAGGAAGAAAATTTACATCAGTGAGAAAACACCAGGCCAGGACCAAGAATCTTGCTGATTCTTCTTTGAATTTTATCAAGAATCTCTAAATATATTGCAATAGCACCATATGTGGCAGCAATATTCAAAGCATGGATGAATGGTAGATTTATAAATATATAAGATAGATTCTGGAGAGAAAGATTGTCTAGCACTTCACAGTGAACCAACTTTCTTAGCAGCTAACCTAGCAATGGTTTCAGTATAGCCTTTCCATTTCATGTCAACCAAGAAGGCACAAAATGTCACTTTCCTGGAGGTTAGCATCAGCCATGCTGATGGAAGACAGAAAGAGGTCTCTTAGAGGATTAATATTGTCTTTGTTTTTTGGACACTTCATTTTAGGTAAATATTAAACAAACTTCACTTAGAAAAATTATTTTTTAACAATCCAGAAATTGGCAAATCAGAAAATACAATTTAACATATTTTTAGAAGTAAAATTAAATTTTGCTTATGAGCAAATTCGTTTTATTCAATAAAATATATATATATATATATATATATATATATATATATACACACTGTCAAAATTGTTAAGCATTATTATCACTTCAAGATTCTTTTTTTTTGACAATTAAAGAAGTTGAGTGTAATCAGGATCATCAAGTCAATGCAAACGATTCTATCCTTAGCTGCATAGTATGTGCTTCGCCAGAGCTAAATACAGTTTGGAATTCATTTTTCCTTCTCCTAGACCGGTTGCCACAAAAGGCAACAGAACCCAGTCTGTCCTACTATTTACCCATAGGAGGGGTGGGGGAAGAGTTAGATTCATACCTTTCCCAAGGATATTAGGACATAAGTGATAGTCAACACAGGTTAAGTGAAGGGTCTGTGTTTAGTTCTCATTCAACTCGACAATCAAACTCATTCTTTATTATTTATGTTGTTTACACAACATTTAATTTCAACTGATCCATTCTTCCGCTTCCTTCAAATACATCTCCATGTGGGGGGAAAAAATATCTGGTAGCACAAAGCAAGAAAACAGAAAATCCAAACTTTGGCAGCAAAACTTCTAAAATAACATTTTCAGCAATACATATAGTTTGTTCCACAATTTATATGACAAACATATTTTTATAAATGGTCAGTCACAAAATATTGCCAGTTCATCATTAATCGCTACAGATTTAATAGTAGAAGCACACACAGTATACCAAAATGAACACAAAATCTTCAGAGTTCGAAATCTAGTTCTCCGCATAATCCTCGATTTCCTCAATTGTAATATTATCCACCTTTGAATAAAGGTGTGTATGCCTACCTCAGAGAACATAGCTCAAAGGTTTTCAGAGTTTTGCTTCTGTTATCTGTAATGAGACCATCAACCTGTTTGGCCTTATCTTTATTTATATCAGCAGTAGGCCTGCCATTGCAGGATCTGTTACTAAAATCAGTTTCTCATTTCTCTCTAGGATAGACATTAACTCCACTGACCCATGTCCTTACTATACTTACATCAAGTGCAGCCTTTCCAAAAATATTCACTAAACTTCTGTGAAGGTTTTCACTACTTTCTTGTTTCAAAAACAAATTCTACTACCAGTCTTTTATGCGTGTCCAAAGAGGCAGCCATGGTAAAGAGGATTATCTGAACGAAGTTAGTCAAAGATTAATTTATACAATCTCTCTATTTCTCTTTTCTTTCCTTCTTTTTCTTTCTCTCCCTCTCCATTCTTTCTCCTTTTCCCCTCTCCCCTTTTTCATTTTCTCCCTTTCTCCTTTTTTCTCCTTTCTTTTTCTTTTTTTCTCTCCCTTTCTCCCCTTTCTTTTTCTTTTTTTCTCTCCCTTTCTCCCCTTTCTTTCTCTCTTCTTTTTCTTTCTTTCTCTTCTGTCCTTTCTTTCTCTTCTTTTTCTTTCTTTCTCTTCTGTCCTTTCTTTCTCTTCTGTCCTTTCTTCCCCTCCCTTCTCTCTCTTCCTCTCCCTTCTCTCTCTTCTCTTTCTTCCCCTCCCTTCTCCCTTCTCCCTTTCTTCCTCTCCCTTCTCTTTCTTCCTCTCCCTTCTCTCTCCTCTCTTTCTTCTTCTCCCTTCTCTTTCTTCCTCTCCCTTCTCTCTCTCCTTTTTCTTCCTCTCCTTTCTCTCTCTCCTTTTTTATTCAACCCCTTTCTCCTTACCCACTCTCTTTTTTTGTTTCCCCCTCTCCTTTCACTCCAAACCTCTTAAAACCAGGAATTGCCATTTAATATTATTCTGTGAATTGGACAGCAGATCTCTTTTTCATTAAGCTTCAATACAAAAGAAAACTTTTTAAAAAAGTTACTCACTCGAGAATTCAACAGTTTACTAATACGTGTCACATGACAGACAAAACTTTTGATTTTCTCATTCTTATCACCTCCTTCAAGATCATTATCTTCATCAATACTCGGCCCACCAGTAAAAGCCCATTTGTATCTGCAAACAAACAAACATTAGAAAATATTCAAATATCAAAGCTGGAATAATTGAACAACAATAAAATAGGAACTGCCAGAAGCATGAAAGACGAAGAATGAAAGAAATTTTCTAAAAGACCAAATTGTGAAGATTTCATGACAAGTTCTTGGCATGACAAAGAAGCTGTTTGAATAATATCTGAGGTTGGGTCATCACCTGTTTCATATAATTTTAAAAAATATTCATTAAAAATAGTAGCAATAATTTAGAAAAAAAATGATCCTTTATATCTATATTACATCATTCAGAAGATGGTTAAGATTTTGGAGGTTTCTTTTTTTTTAAATCATTTCACCCCAAGCAAGGCAATAAAGCCACTAGGATGCAAGAGGTTACTGAGTCTTAGAGAATATAAGAAGGTAAGGTTTTGCTGAAGAATTCCTTTAAACTATTTACTTGATAATATCAAAGACGGATCAGGATCAAATCACATTTTTTAAGATGTGCCATAGAGAGTACAACTAGAGGTACATGTAGACAAAGATAATCAGGAGTTTTTCTAATATTTCTGAATTAAATCAATTATTTGTATAAAATATTTAGAAATTTATTAATTTTTCAAAAATTTTTTAATCTAAGAATTTTAAAAGTAAAGCACAATTAAAACTAGCAATTTCAAATAAACTTTTAAAATTATTATAATTTTTTTTGAAAAGTTCATTTATACCATAAAAAAATGACTTCTATATCCATTGATTGACTGATGTTTTCTACAGCTAATCAACCCATTGAAGGTTATTTAAAGCCAGAAAACATTCTTAGATAGGAAGAATTTGGGGGTGGGTAATAATGGTTTAGTTATACAAGTCTTACTAGCATGGGGTAGAAGAGGTGGATATTTTTCAAGGGTATTTGGGTGTAAGTGAATATAACATAAAAGGAATTGAACTTGGCTCTCCAATTAACAATGCCAAGCCATTATCCATTACACCACCTGCACATCCAAGCTCAATGTTGCTTAACTTCGGTGATTTGTTATATTTTCTATATGAGTAATCTAGGATTTGTATCTATAAAATTAAATCTTTTGTTCCATATAAGAAAGAATTCCACTTTTTACAATAATAAAATTAATAATATCCAAAGAAAGCTGATATTACTGATATTATCAGACAATGATGGCCATAGTTAAGTAATATTGCAATTTCATTGGTCATATTTTCTACATGGGAAATCTTGGATCTTTATCTATACAATCAAATCTGTTGTTGCATGTAAGAAAAAATTCTGCTTTTTAAATCATTGTGTGATAGTAGTCATAAAGGGTTTCTCCCCAATCCACCTGTGCCAAGAGGCCATAGGAGCTGCACTTCAGAGGTCAATGGCTTTACAGTAGGTAGATGAAATTCAAAGAGGAGAGACAGGGATAATCTCAACATTCTTGGTGCAAAAGGAACTGGCAAACTGTTGTACTATTTTGCCTTGAATGTTACCATGACCCACAATTACAACAGAAATAGGGGGAGTGGTGACCACATTGGTGGTAACTGAATAAATGATTAAGTAAAAGTAAAAAAAAAAGAAGGCAATGTGCTAATAACCTGATCTATCATTCTTAGTATTAAAATATTCAGTTGCTTTGGTAGCACAAGACATTCACTTATTGGCATCAAGAAATGAGGCCTGTTACATTAACAACAAATATCTCATTAATAAGACAGAGAGATCAGGCTGTATTAAAACCATTTTGTTCTTTGTGTCCATTTTAACTTTTACCACAGCAAATTCTTTATAGAATTGTTGCCACTGCATTATTTTTTTTTGAGGATGTCAAAAATCATGAACATCTACTGTTTTAAAATTGTTATAACTTTCTTTGTATTGTGTGTATAGACTTTATTTTTTGTATACTAATAAAAGAATGGCTGAGTAATATTTTGATTTTATTACATTTTGTATGCATGTTTTGACATAGAAAACAAAAAAATTGAAACACAAAATAAAAAAAACAAATACATTAACAATTTAACATACTTTAAGTTTTATTACTTTTTGTGGAGTTCTGGGGTGCAATAAAAAGCAAAATGGCTAAGAAATCTTTCATTTTGTCATAAGTGACATCTTTTCATTTGTTTACATATGAGTAGATACCAACATTTACTTGCTTTTTCTTTCACCTGACTAGCATATTGATTTGCCTCATTGACAAATAAAGTTATTATTTCATCGTTTATAAACAGATGAAATAATTCACCTTTAGAAAGGCTGTCAAGTACATCTACGGGGCCAGTAGCTTCCATAAAATTAGTCAGCCATGGACAACAGGAGCCGCTCGGCACCTAGTGGCCATCATCACTTCCTTTCACATCACTAGTGTGGTTATCATCTCCTGACCACTTCACCATCAATATCCACTTGTATAAATCATCATCAGAGTCCAAATCAATGAAAAACTCTTGAATAAAGGCTTCGTTGGATGTTGATGCAGCCATTTTTGTTTATAAAACATTGCCAAAAAAATTAACGTGGGTTTAATCTATGTTACATCTCATGCAGAGTGTCAGAGAAATTCAAAATGGTATAATAAAATGGAAGTTTAGCTTCGTTCCAAAGCAGTAATAGGTAATTTCCAGCTTAAAATACTAGAAATAACAGTTGACAAGTGTTTATTTATAGCAACTGTCTCAAGGCAACAGAATGCGCCTCCAGCATGCAAAGGGAGAGAATTCTACGGCGACAATTTTCGCCTCCAGTGTGATAACGGTTAAATGCACTTTCAGATAGTTGCCTATCATTTGCTACTTCCTACTATTTGTGCAAACTGCAGCTACTGCAAAGAGAGTATAGCTAAAAGAACGGCAGCTAAACCTTCTCACACTTGGCTAACATCAGTTGCACAGAACCGCACTACTACTGAGTGAACCAAATTGGGCTTTTTCATTCTCATAAATGGTGAACTTTGTTCATGCGAGCTGGCCAATTCTGTGATGCAAGCACAAATAGAGACTTCAAAATGTGGTCATCACTGAGAAAAGAAAAAGAACTCTAAAGCATGGAACACACAGTCCACCGTAGATCAGCATCAATTACAATCATTTCCCCAATGGCTTCTGAAAGCAAACTGCTTGCCACTTCAAGCAAATCCTTAAATACATGCTAAAATCATGGATATTTATCAGCTGATAGTATTAGTATTGCTTGTGTGCATGCACTCTTTTCACACTGCAAATGGCCGCCTGCATGCAAAGCTGTGTGTTCATTTAATCCATCATAATATTGAACTGTAGTCAGACGTTTCAAGTTCTAAACAGAGTCCATCACAAATGTTATGGCTAGAAATGTTCTACACTTGAATTATTACTGTTGTCGGTTTTATTTCCTGATTAAATCTTGTATAACTATGGCTGATACACTGAAGTAATCAATTAGGGGGTGCTGAAAACTTCATGACCCAACACACATCCAAAAATCAGACAAAACATCAGTTTTTTTTGGTTTTTTTTTTTTTAAGAGCTTTTTGGTCAGGGCCATAGACTTTTTCAGCACCCTGGTTATACTTGACTTATACTGGTTATTTACTTAATAACAAAAACATAGGAAAATAGACAGACAACAAAAAACCTAAAAGCAAGTGTTGAAAATGACTCACAATTGAAACTGTGGTATGACGTCAGCAGGCAAAACCAAGGCCATGTCAAGCAGTTTGCAGACACTGAGATAGAGCTGTAACCAAATTGGATTGTTGTGGGCGTTCAGTCCATTGGCAAGATGAGCCCAACTGGAATCAAGGGCAGCTATTCTCTGCAGCTGGGTTCTGGAGACAGAAATAAAGTCTTACAAAAAAAGACAAGGGACATTCCAAGAAAATACATTAATAATACAAATAATAATACACTGGAGTAAATAAGAACATTATAATTGTGTGTGTGTGTGCGCTTCAAAAAGAAAAAGGACTCAATGATAAAACATTTTGTTGTCTTATTAAAAGTTCAGAAGAAAATATTGCACCTCACTTTGTAAAAAGACTGATAGGAAAAAATAAACAATTGAAGTTCTTCAGATAAAGATTGAAAGAAAAACAAAACACTCAATAGAAAATAACATTCAAATTGTTAATGTCATATAAGAAGAATTGTAAATATTTTTTTTGTTTTTGTTAAAACCTTTACCAAAATTAGCTAAGTAATTATTAGTTGATTTATTTATTGTACTGGTTATGACAGTTAAAATAAACAAGTACCGTCCTTGATTGCCTTAAATCTGAGAAAATATTTTATAACTTTTATCTAACTGAAAACATGCAAAATTGTGTGCTCATATAAGTGGACACTGAGGTCAACACTGAGTGGCAACAGTCTGTTTCATACTTGAACATAATCTCCAGTCTTAAGATTATGTTCAAACATGACACAGATTGTTGCCACTCGGTGTTGACATCAGTGTTCATTTTTATATTTACACATGTTCTATCCTTAATGTTTAGAACTATTACCCATACATAAAGCATACCTTAAAACTAGTTTATATATATATATATATATATATATATATATATATATAAACTAATTATGTTATGTTTTTGGTTCTTTCTTTTTTTTTATTTCTAATTTTTCCTCGGACGTCAATTTGTGATATTACAAGTTGAGACAACCGAGGTTTTCAAAACGAGTATTAACATTCATATTATATATATATATATATATATATATATTTTAAAGAAAAACAGACAACTTTAAGGTACCATTATGATAATTCATTTCACCAGAGCCCTTTTAAAGGATGCCGGATCATCAGATAGCACTTCCAAAAATGAAATGAAACGAAAAATGAAATTAAAATTGATGGGTAGTGTAAGTTTTTGCAGTTTAACAGAGAGTGTAAAAGGAGTAGTTAAAGAGACATGGCAGAGTTTAGGGAGGGATTAATTTCATATCTCTCTCAATCATATTTAGTATTGGGGGAGGAGGAGTGACGAGACCTTGACCTATTTAGACGGTTAACTTAACGGAAGTGATATATTGAAATGGGAGGGAAGAAGGGAGAAAAGAAAGAGGAAAAAGAAATAAGAGGGAGAGGGAAGTAAAGAGAAAGAGGCTGTAATTGAGTTTTAGCAATTTATGTAAAGAATAGATTTTAATGCTTGATAGTAATTTAGATGTCTAAAAAAAAAAACGAAAAAATTAATATAATGCTTGCTATCAATTTAAATATTTGATTTTTTTCAAATAGTTTAGGGATTTAATATAAGTTAAATACTACATTTATTAACACATTTATAGAGAACATATTAAAAAAATTTTAAATTATAACAGTTTGTTTACCCGACCAATCATACTTTTTTAATATTGTAAAAAACAATTACGGTAACATCTTTATCAGTTTGAATCTAATTTATGAATGTAATTTTTAATTATTTTTATTTTTTTTTATTTTTTTGTAATCTTTTAGAATTAATATATATATATATATATATATATATATATATATATATATTTATTGTATTATATATATATATATTCTATACAATAAATATACATTTTGTTACTCACCTTCTGGTACATCTCATAAGGAACAAAACGTATATTTACTATTAGTATAAATTTTACCCCTATTAAATATCAAACATGTTATTACCACCAGCACACACTGTGCAATACTTTATATATAAAGTAGGCATCTGTTCATCTTGCAAGATAAATGTCGTGCACTGTTTGTTCAAAACAATTCAAAGTGTAAGTGTGGTGAGTATGGGGGGGTGTATAAGAATAAAGGAAATGGTAGCCAAATTCATTAGGTGTCCAAGCAGATCCCTAATGTACCAAGCAAATTTGGAAAGTTTCACTTTCCAGTCTCACTATAGTCCAAAATCATCTCCACGTTCTTGTGAGTGACAAATTAGTTTCCAACCTGCAACCCCTTTTCTCAGAGACAAAATGTCACAAGCCTCTCACTACATTCCTTAGTTCCATCCTTATTTCCTTTGTATTTGAAAATAGGCAAGAAGTAAGTTCTACTCAAGCAGCTTCTTCCCATAAACAACTGCTCTGTGGAACTGACTCTCAAGAGAATTTTTGGTGCCACTTTAGCATGTGTCCTACAGATCAGTGTGTCACATTTGTAGCCTACATTATCTAACATAAAGGGAAAAGCAAAAATAGAAGGAGCAATGCCATTTACTGTTGTATAATAAAGTTTAAAATAAAAAAAAAAAAAATGATAAAATAAAGTTGACAAAAAAAATCATGAAACAAGATATTTGAACCCTTCAAATAAAAACATTCTGAATGTCTTTTAACATATTGAGAAAAAAGTCAAGACAATGGCTTCATAATGTAGGACACAAACATGGTGGTAGGACACACACTAAAGTAGAAACTGATCGGTAGGACACACACTAAAGTAGAAACTGATCAGTAGGACACACTAAAGCAGCACCAAAATCTTTCCCCATCACTACAATCTTAACCTTTTCAAGTCTAGTGTTAACTATTATCTTCCCCAAATATCCACATAAACTGTGCCTTTTACCCTGTAACCCTCTATTTTGAGTGGCTTCCAGGCCTTTCACAGGATGAACCACACTGTAAAAACAAAACAAAAAAAAATCTTTATAAACTCATTTCAGTTGAGAAACTTCCTTGCGACAGATTAGATAAATTCCCTAAAACAAATATCTTTCTTAAATATGCCACTGTTTAAGAATTTTTAAGTACATAATAAGGACCTCATTTATCTGCTTGTATGGTTATTTTGTTACTGTAACACAGCAAAAAAAAAGGGCACATCATAGCACAATTTTTGCTAAAGCATTCTAACAGTATAGCATTAACATGATCAGCTTACAGCCATTGAAACACCAGCTCTTTTCCTATCACCAAAGTTAAGTAAAGCCAAGCCTAGTCAGTACTTAGATGGGTGACCACTTGGGAATACCAGGTGTTGTAAGTTTGGATGTATGGCAGGTGTAATGTATAATGACAAATTGGAGAGATTCGTTACATACACATGTGCAAATATCCTTGGGAAAGATATGAATTCATTTCTTCTCCTCCAGCTAAGACTTAAATAACAGGACAGAGTTGGTTTTGTAGCCTTGGTTGGCAACCAGTCTATTGCATAAAATAACACCAGCCCACTGAGAATTCTTTTGCCAAGTTAATCATGAATCAAAAGGAGACATGAGGGCCCAAGTGTGGCAACAAAGGAAGGATTAAGGAAGGATTAACTTGAAGAATAAACCAATTTTAAATCTACTGATTGCATTCCACAATCATTATTAGTGCCAAATTGTTTTTTTTTAATAGCAGATATGGAACGTTCTCAAACTAAAATACCCAAATCTAAGTAAATACTTTTTTTTGTTTTGTTTTTTGTTGAAGAGCCTCTTGGATAGGCAAAGAACTTTTCAGCATTCTCTTCATAAATTAGTATCATTAACAACAAGAAAACTACTCCAACAGCTTCTTCTGCCTGTGGAATTCCCTTCCAGCTACTTGCTTCCCTGATAACTACAATCTTCAAAAGTTTAAATGCAGCATCAATCGCCATCTTCTAATGTTTTGAAACCCATTCATCTTTTATCCTTTCCTCATTACCCCCTATAAACAATATACTTCTGACTTTCACTCTATGTAACCCCCTGTGAATCAGTGGCATTCTGCCTTGCTTGGGGTGATATGCTTTGAAAAAATAAAAAATAAATAAAATAAAATAATAATAATATTCATTTTTCTAAAATTTTATTAAATGAAGCCTCTTTAAGATCCCAGATGAATATTTATTTTAATATTTGCAATCATATTTATTTATTTTCACATTTTGTTAATAATGAAGTGTTTAGAGCAGGGGGGGGTCTCAATGCCTATTGGGGGAGCAGGGTTGGGAGAGGGGCTTTTACCTTTTAACAAGTTTTGCATTGACTCTAATTTTCATCAAAATAAAGTCAATTTAAATACACTGACCTTTAATTGAAGCATACATCAGTTTTATTTAATAATTAGTCATGAATTAAAACAAATTACTGTACATTAGATACCTCCACAAAATTGCTAAAAAATTAGCATGCCATAATGAAAAAATGCTCCAAACTTAATGAAAACAAAGTTTCATTGTCAAAATCATTGTTATTAACAGGAAAGGTCAAAGCATTTTTTTGAATATTCAATTAAATGTTTTTAATCCTGTTTCAGACATTCAAAATTTTTATTAAAAATCTTTTTTTTTTGTGCCAGTTGGACTATAAGTTAGCAGAGTCTTTTTTTGTAGTGAAAGACACATTAATTTGGAAATTCTTGCAAAAATCAAATAATTGTCTATTTGAATTAAACTTTCAGGATTTATTCACAAATAAATAATTTTAGAAAAAAAATGTTACTTTTTAGAAAATCTTGGTAAAAAATATTATTTTTTTAACGTGTGTTTCACCCCCCTTTTAATTTTATGAAACCTCAAACGTGTAACTTTTTGGTGAGTATATTAGTTAAAAGCAGAACTCTTTGGAGAATTTAAATCATCAATTTTCTTTTTTTTTTTTTTTTATAAAATCAGACCCTTACCGAAATCTGCTCTGAATCATAGAATAAAAAATGCAATAAAACTAAGACATTGTTTAATTAGAAAAGCTTTTAATTGCTTTTATGAATAATATATATCAAGTACAATATTGTCTTAAGAAAAAAAAATTTTCAGTGAAAAATGAATTTTTACAAGAGTTGTTTTCATTGTTTTACAATTTTAATTAGAATAATTTATGATATTTTTAAATCTTTTAAAATTCAGTTTCAATGGTGTAATGGTTAGGGAGTATTGTTATTAAGTAAAAACTATATTTATTAACCATATATCATAAAGATTATTACAATCTGACAACCCTGGTTATTTTTAAAAAGAATTTTGAATTGTTTTTGTATGTGTATAAATGTGCCTATTTTTGTAGATACAGTAGCCCATACATGACACTATCAGAAAATAAGAGTAATAATTATAGTAAATTAAAAAAGGCCCAAATTCTCAAATTCAATAAAACATTATAGAGAATATTTTCTTATATTTTAAGATTACTGGGTACTTAAAAGGTGGACATGTTAGATTCTTCAATTGTTTTTTTAATGGTTACCCCCTCACACACCCTGTAGAACAAAATTAGATAAAAATCTGCCATAGAGTTATCAAGAACCTGTTAACCTAAACAAACAGCTATTGCTGTGTTAGCAAAATGCATTTTCATTTTTAAAAATTCATTTTAAACCATAGGTATTATGAATCTGTTTAGATCACTTCCATAGATGTATTGATGTTTAAAAATCCATCAACATTTTATATTGCTATTAAATTTGTAAAACTCTTATAAAAATAATCCATGTAAATGCGTTATATACTAATATGGAAAAAATGAAGATTTTCAATAATATATGCGTATTATTTGGAATACACCTTTGACAAACAATGACTTTTTATAAAACTTCATTGAAGGAATGAACAAAGTTTCTCATTTGAAGAGAACAAATTATACGTTGGTTGGGAGTCATGGACTTCAAGATAGACTTATTTAAAAAAAAAAAAAAAAATGAAACCGAACAGATAATAAAAATTGATTTTTAAATAAAAAAATGCCTTACATATCTTTTGATATAAAGAGATTTAATAACAGACAAAAGGAACAGTAATCATCATCATTAATATTCATATCATCACCACAACTGATAATCATTAACAAAACTTACCTCTCTTATATACATTAACAAATATTAATGATGCTCTAGAAAATTTCATTCTATCTCTTATTTTAAAAATAAATTTAATCAAATTACTTTTATAATGATTTCATTTGTGTTTGCTACAGCAACACAGCAACAATGGCACATCATAGTGCAATTTTTATTAGCACAATACCATTAAAATACTTTAACTCAGAGAATAAAGTAAAATTGGGCCACTAGTTTCTGAATAATTTTTAAGTTGACAAACAAATTACAAACCCTTTGTAGGTTATTTAAAGCCAGAACATATTTCAGATTGTAGGAGGTGTTTCCAAACAGTGTCCAAAAAGGGGTAACTCCAATCTTATTAATTGTTAATTGTATAAATACTTTCCTTGTCTGCATTCCCTTCCATCAGCCATATTGGTATATGAATGATGATGTTTTAATAATAACTAAATTTATTGAAAATTATTACCTACAGATATAATTTAAATTCTATAAATAGGTAATTACATTGATTGAGCCAGAGCTGCTAAAACACAGCATTTAAACCTGTGTAAATGCTAAATCCCTATTGAAGGAGGTGGGATGTGGTGAGTTTCTCACTGCTCTGTCACTACTTTCATGAAAAGTGCTCAAACTACATGCCTTGGTTCCTCCAGGACTAACCTTCACAGCTAGGATCAACCATGTCACTTACATAGTAGCAAACCCCCACCCACATTCCCTCTGTATTCCATCAGCGAGAAGTTCCACTCAAACAACTTCTTTCTGCGAACCACTGCCCTGTGGAACAGACTCCCAACAGAATGTTTTTCCTGATCACTACTACCTGTTCAAATCTAGCCTTAACCATTATTTACCCCTCTTATCCATATAAATGACCACTTAACGTAACACTTTACCTTGATTGGTCCCCAGGCTTTATATAGGTTAACCTTCTTTCTTTTTATGTGCCATGTCCTTTCAGGACATAGGCGATCATGGCTCTCCACCTTTCCTCTATTCCTTGCAGCTCTCAACAAGTTCCTTCCCTCTGCTTCCTCCCCCAGGCCATGTTCTGTCATCCACTTGATTAAGCCCACCAGTTATGTCATGCATTGTTTTCCCTTGTCTCTCTTTCCCTTTATTCGACCCATGAGTATCAGATTCTCCAGGCCCTCCTTTCTCATTATGTATCCCAGAAACTTCAGCTGCCTCTTCCTGATGTTAAGTATAAACCTCCTCCTTGTTTGCAACCTCTCTAAGACCTCATTGTTGCTCACATGCTTGGTCCACAATATCCTTAAAAGCGTTTCAAATACAATCTAAAACTACAATTTTATGTTTTTCAATAATTTTCAAGCAGAACTGGTATGGTTAAATAACTGACATGAAGTCCCATCATTGGTTATTTGACTAACATATTTGTCTTTCGGTTGGAACATTTCTAAAAAGAAATTGTAGTTGTAAAATAATTGAACTTATATATTTTTCAGTTTTATCAAATTTAGTAAAAATTTAATTTTTATTGAAATTCTTTAATATGAGACAAAAAAAATTCATCAACAATAAAATGTAACATAGAAGGATTTAACAAATGGTTGTAAAGTCTACCATGCAAACATGTCTTGTAGAAACATCAAAAACTATTTTACAGATTAACAGTAAAAAGGTCAATGAGTGGAAGAAATCAACTGAAAAGGTAATTACAAAACAAGCATATAAATGTAAATGAAAGTGGCAAACAGGTACATTTGTACAAGCATTGCAATACAATGGACATATCATAATTGAATATTATAGAAGGAAGAAGAAAGAGACAAAACAAAAGCAAGCAATAACTTATTGGGAAAGAGAGAAGCATGCAGCATAGTTGCAGCTACAACGAGAAAAACAAAAAGATATCAATAATATAAATGTTAAGGAGATAAGAAAAAAGATGGCTGCAAAGATGTTCAGTGGCTAAATTGGGAAGTTTTGGCAATGTTTAACCTTTGTGCCTAAAAAAAAAAAAAAAAGCAGTGGGTCAAAAGAATGGTTATTCTCTTCACACAACTATTACTGTATACCCTTTTGACTTCCTTTTAATGTTTATTATAGTATTAGAAATTTAGTATACACTTTTGACTCCACTTTTGATGTTTACTTACAAGATTATAAAAATGTGAACCAAGTACAATACGATATTTATTATTTACCTTTTATAAAGAAATACATGTGAAAAGAAATAATTTTATTCAAAAATTTATTAAAAAATTACAA